GTCGATGGCAGACATAGAATGCTTCCAACTACACGGGGGCTTCTATAGGCCATTGCTCCCCTTGCCTCTCTGAGGGGGCCCGGTTCTGGCCGTGGTCCCCGGTAGGCCTAAGAACTCCATACACATGACTGATGCCAAAGTCTGACATTAGCATATCAGCCTGGGATAGCTCCGGGGAGCCGACGGGGCTCCCCCCAGAAAACGCCCGTGAAAGCTTGCAGAACAGAGCAGAAGTGACATCCACCCCGAATGCAAGCTGCAGCGACTCTGCCAGCACCGCACAATACGAGGTGACAGTATTTAGCAGAAAATGACAGTCCTGAAACAACCAAGAGAGAGAAAGGACAAACAACCCGATCAGAAATTGAAAACAACCTACGTAGAGACAAAAAATGCCGAAAGAACCACCAGGAAACTTTCATACTGCCATTTAGACGAAACTCGCAGGAGGGACACCATCAAAAAAGCTACCTGATCACCATACAAGTGATGATATACCGTGTCAAAAAGACCAGATGCAAAGAGTAGAGGAGTAGATCGAACCAGCCACGTACTGGACCGGACCGATCTGCTGAAAGAGGCGGAGCCGCAGGAAGACCCTCGGGTTCGGACATCAAGCAAGAAGCTCCTGAAACCAGGGCTGGGCTGGCCACCAAGGAGCCAACAGGACTACTCTTCCCTGGTAAGTCTCCAAACGAGCCAGGATTCGAAGCAACAACCGGACCAGTGGGAAGAGATACAGGTAACTCCACCTTGACCAGTCCAGCCGAAAGGCATCGACCCCGACGGCTTCACAGTCTGGGAAGGGAGGCCGTTTGACACCCCTCGAACATGAACTGCCAGGAGAGCCAAACCCTGAGAACTCAGCAGATGAGTCACCCGAAGCAACCAGCCCCAAAGAACCAAGCACCGCATTGAACCCCCGCGGTTCAAGCAATGAACCACTGGAGAGCAGTCCGAATGGAGCCGGATCGTTGCTCCTCGAGCAACCCGAATTCTCTGAAGCGAATGCCACACCACCGCAAACTCCCACGCCGTGCTGTGAGCTTGACGGAAAGACGAACCCCACCGATCCAGGCCAGCCTGGTGAGCACTTGTTACAAAACCCCAGCCGAGAGACGAGACATCCGTGAACACATCGAGCGAGGGCTCAGGGAGGCGCTACAGCACAGAACCCCGAAAAACCCACAGAGGAAGCCGGCAACGCAGCAGCTGATGCAAGGCTCCTTGGATCTGAACCCATCAATCGCGAGAGCGGTGGAAGGGACGACCCCAAAGAAACCAGAACATCCGCCAAAGCCAGATCCAACCCGATGGGCAGACCAGCACATCGAAGTTCAGGCTCCACACAGCTGCTCGAACAACCGATGTGTGACCCGGGTGCCCTCCAAAAACAGCCGGAGGCGGGAACAGCCGCAGCCGTAACAGCGTCGCAAGAGGGAGAGACAAGGAAGCGGTCCGAGAGTCCCACACAAGACCCAGCGAAGTCCGAACCTGAGAGGGAACCAAATGGGACTTCCTCCAGTTCACCAAGAATCCGAACCTGGCGAGCTGGGAAAGAACCAAATCCCTGGTGAGCAGACATGCAGACCAGCTGGAAGCCCAGACCGGCCAGTCGTCGAGGTAAGCTAGAACCCGAACCCCTAACAGACGCAAACAGATCACAGTGATCCGGGTAAGGTGTGTGAAAATGTGGGGTGCTAGATTCAAGCCGAATGGAAGGCAATGAAAGAGGTAAGCGTGCTGCCCCATAACAAACCCAAGCGAGTCCGTGAACCCCAGATGAATCGGGAGTGCCAATACGCGTTTCGAAGGTCCAGGGACATCATCCAAGTGCTCGGCTTCAAAAGCAGTCAGACCTGGGACAGAGTAATCATCTGAAATAATCATCCGAAAGGAGGGGCAAAAGACCCCAGGAGTTCAGATGGGACAAGTCCAGAATGAACCTCAGGTCCACACAGTCACGTTTCGGGACTGGGAACAGACGGGAAACCCACCTGAGGGACGTGGTCATTTCGACCATGCGTACCCACTCTAGGATGATCTAACAGAGCACAGGGAAAAAAGCCTGCCCCACCAGCCATGAACCCCCCCTGAAGGAGGAGGAGCCACCCAACATCACTGCAGGCCGGAGAAAATAACCCGAAAAGCCCACAAATCGTGGGACTAGGTGTAAGCAAAGGGCACGATCCTCTCCCGCCCCATCAACAGGGCAAACCGCGAAAAGACCGATGACCCTTACGAGAGCTCGACCGACTGTCAGAGCGAGCACTACGCCAACCAGACGTCGACGGCTCTGCAGGAGGGGCCGGCTCTTAATCTGGCACCACTGGCTTACAATGACGAAGGAACCCTGAGCCTTGGCATGAACCCCAAGGCCTCCCAAGAGAATCAACAAGTCTGACTTAGGCCAGCAACTAGACGAAGCCACCTGCAGAAAATGCACCACAGCTGACTCTGCAAACACCAACGGACAAAAGGAGATGAGCCAGGGCCCAAGCAGATTCCAAAGAGTGGTTGAGCACCATCCTGTCAGAAGTGGAGTGAACAGACACACCACTTCCTTCAGAATCGGCACAAACAATTTCAACAAGGCAGCCGACGCCCGAGCTGCTGAGGCAAGCGCACCGGCTTGCCAGGTGAAGCTGCACCTGGCCCAAATCGCGAGGAAGGACTGGGAGGGGGGGGGGGCAAACAAGCATGCATTGAGGTGAGCTCCAAGTTGCCCCTCAGGTAAACCTGATTGACTGTAGTCAACTCCTGCCATTCAAGCATACAGGTCCGACAGAACGCATGCCACGGCCCCCAACGAAAAGAAAGGGCAGTCTGCCACCCAGGAAGACTCCGGCACCTCGTAACACACCCAGTAAGGAAAAGTGGAGCCAAACTCAAAAGTAGAAGGATCCATTATCGAGGCATAATCCTAATCTCGCAGAACGTAAGATGCATGGGCCTCCTGCACATCCCCTGGTAGGATGCGGGAAGCCGAAAACCTCCGAAAGGAGGGAACCGAGGAACCCAAGGGAACCCGGAACTGAACCCGGGGAGGAGTCAAACTCATATCAACTTGAACAAGGAGGGGGGATAGGAAAACCCCCCCTCCCCTTGTAACATGAAGCCCCATGCCGAGGGTACCAACACCTAAGCAGGTTCAAATGGGGCCCAAGCCACCCAAGTCAACTCCTCCCCAGCCCCGGGATCCTCCACAGCAGGACTCTGGGCTGAGCCATCCTCCAAACCCTCTGCCTCTGGAGAAAAGGCAGAGTCCTTCATAAAAAGCAAGGAGGAAGGGGGCTCGCTGGCCTGACCCCAAAGCCCCAGCAGGAGGAACAGGCTTGAATGACTCTGCCGCCGATCCAGAAGGGGCAGTCCCCGAGGCTGCACGAGTCTCACCACGAGGAAAACCCTGTCCAGACTACGAAACCCTCAGATGTTTGGGAGCCGGATGCAGGAGGAAGGGGAAAGCAGGATGAATCACAGCAGGGGAAGGACAAGAGGGCGTGGATGAAACCAAAGTGGAGGCGACTAACATCCCCAAGTCTGGGTCCCTATAACCAAAGTGAGGAAGCCGTGGGGCATCCGGAAAGGCAACCAACCTAGCGCATTGCAGCAACATAAACGGTGCATTCAATGCTGAAGCTATCTGCACCCGAATATCAATATCAGTGGACTGGGTGAATTGGAGTACAAACAAGGAACACCACTTGCCAGACTACGGGTTAAAGTTTTCATTGACCCAACAATTAGCATCACAGAGGCAAAGACGGCAAGTGTCACCCTGAGACAAGGGGACAGAGCAACCTTCAAACTTGCACAAAATAAGACAGAACTCAGAGGATGCATCCATTGAACCAATGAGCCCCAATGGGGGTTTCCAGGGTCCTTAGGCTGACTGCTAAGGGAAGCCCAGGCAAGGTACTGCTAACTGGTTATCCCAGAACACTCACACACACACAAACAAAATGCTGAACCCCTGCGACCTGTGCAAGCACGGGGACCTAGCGGAGGGCCATCAAAATCACACAAGTGGTCCTACAGGCACACCAGGTAGACCCCCCATCAGGTAAAACAAAATAAAACAAAACAAACACTCCGTTAAAGCACAACGTCTCCAGGAGGAACAGAACCACTGCTATGCGTATTATAAGACAGCTGCATAGTACCTTGCGCCCCTGCCAGTAAAAATACTACCCCCTACCCCCTACCCTAGGCCAGACAGGGGTAAGAAAAAACCCAACTGACCCCAAGGGTGGGCAATCAATAAGCAGCAAAAGAACTTGCGGAGGTAGTCCCCGAACAGTTTGTGGAAGGTAACCCCAAACTGCAAGGGCAGTACTTACAGGGCACCTAGGAAAGGAACCCTAGGCACATGCAGCCTCAGTACTTCTGGAATAACACCTGGCTCGCACACCACCACAAGGCACAGCACTGCTTGAAGATTGCTGCCAGAGTCGATCGACCACCACCCAACACAACAGCCTCAGAACTGGGGTTGGGTTGACGGTGTGGGATGTTTGGAACCCCCCCCTTCCCTAGGTTGGGGAAGATGCGCAGACAGCAGCGCGGTGGCTGTGGTGATATCATGGTTGTTTGCTAGTTTTGTGATTGGGGAGTTCTGCTTGCTTGTTTGGCTTGCAATGTTTAACCATCTGTATTTTGTTTTGGGATTCCTACCTTTCTGGGTGCCTGACCTGGTAGATAGCAGACACAGACTGCTTCCAACTACAAGGTGTGTCTATAGGTCATTGCTCCTTGTGCCTCTCTGAGGGGGGCCAGGTTCTGGCTCGTGGACCCCGGTAGGCCTAGAACTCCATCAATTGACTGTTGCCACAGTCTAATATACACACATCAGCCCGGTATAGCTCCGGGGAGCCGGTGGGAATAAAGATATCCCCTAGAATTGTGATTATGTAAGAATGAAATATCTAATACAGTATTAATACATTTTCATAAAGTACAAGAAATATATACAAGTTTGCATTGCAAAACAGTGACAATACCTAGTGTTGGGATTGGGGCTGTTATATCTCCAATGCCGAATTTGAGCACATAAAGATTCCCAAAGGATCTTAAGGATGTTGCCCAACACACTACCTTCTGGTGGCACGATGTGGTAACACGGCAAAACAATGATGAACAATATCAGGGCCAAAAGCAAGCAACCTGTTGGTAAACAAAAAATATTATGCATTAAATGATAAATAATTTAAATTATCATCCAGTTTTCACACCTATAAAATAGCAAAATTTATCAACTAAAGGCCTCTTATTAGGAAAACATGAATCTTTACCCAAAAAAACAGCCCATGAAATAGAAGCCAGGTACAGAGTTGTATAGACATATCATATATTAAGGCCATGTACTGGCTAGTCTTGGTTTTCATCATGACACATACTACATTCATGTTTCTGGTATCTGCTCTATATTGAAGACAAATGTGTGAATTTACACTGTTTAAGGCTGTTCGTCTAAATTTTTATTTTATATATCAAGGAAAATAAAAATAGTAAAATACAGTATGTAAAACCAGCACTGAATGTAATGAAATGTCAATTTCTGGGTGAGCCCTGGTGGCTCCCTGAACCAACTATCTCCAATGTAGGTGCCATCTGCTAAGTGCCATCAGTCATTGTTACATGGCATACCAGGAACCAAGAGGCAGAACCTGGCTCCCCCTCATGGAGGCAGAGAGAGCCATAGCATTAATATACAGTACTAAGTTATTAATTTATGCCACTACCGAGGAAGGCACCCCAGGAAGTCAGAGAGTCAAAGCAAGTCACTGCTGGCCGTAAATGAGACATCAAGGCTCGATAATGGCCACAGAACTTTTCAATGTAGACATGAGTAGTAGCGGTTGACTCTTGTGGCTCCCTCACCCTCGTGGCACTAACATGCTCACTCTCACCATTGGTTGTTTCTATATCCTCAGGCTGTGTATAATCCTCATTTATATCTGAGTTGTCAATATCAGATTAGTCAACGTCTTTGAACAATTCATTGGCAATTTCGTCTTCGGTCAAAGATTGCGCGGCGCTGTGCGCTGAGCGAGGTCGGACGCTGGGTCGTGAAGCACTTGCCATGGTGTCTGGCCAGTAACTAAGGCCTGGGAAACAAAAGACGCCTGCACAAGATTTTTTTCAAGACGGTGTCTGTTTACAATCGCCCCTGGCTATGATATGGGTGACCCTTTTACACCGCGGGACATTTGAATCACACCTGGCACCCTATGGCGTATATATATGCCATGCGCATGGTGGGACATGTTACTCATGGCATATATATACGCCATGCACAGTTTAAGGGTTAAGGTCAAGAGAGAGATCATCCAAATGCATGGCTTGAGAATAAGATGGGCCTGGGACAAAGTAGTCATCTGAAAGGAGGGGCAAGGAATCAACCGGATCAGACGGGACAAATCCCAACAGGTAACATAACGAAGGCAAAAACCGGTGAATGTCACCCCTGAGACAAGGAAACAGAGCAACCTTTCGAACTCCCACACTGCAAGATGGGACCCAGAGGCCTTATCCATCAGACCAATGAGCCTCAATGGGGTTTTCCAGGGCCCTTAGGGTGACTGCTAAGGGAAGCCTAGGCAAGGTACTGCTAACCAGTTGGCCCAATTTACCAAAAGAACAATTAAAGCTAAATCCCAGCAACATGTACAATCACGTGGACATGGGCCTGACAGCTGAGTGGACAGCGCTTCGGATTCGAAGTCCTGAGGTTGCGGGTTCGATCCCTGGTGGAAGCAGAAACAAATTGACAGAATTTCTTTCACCCTGATGCCCCTGTTATCTAGCAGTAAATAGGTACCTGGGAGTTAGACAGCTGCTACGAGCTGCTTCTTGGGGGATGTGTAACAAAATGGATGTCAGATCGAGGGCCAGGCCGCGGGGACACTAAGCCCCGAAATCGTCTCAAGAAAACCTCAAGATATAGCGGGGGACCACCAAAATAACAGGGGGGGGGGGGCAGACCCCCACCAGGCAACATACAAAAACAAAAGAAAAACCCAGCAAAATTACATCATCTCCGAGAGGAATAGAACTGGCCGCTGTGATAATAGATGACAAGCTACACAGTTCCTTGTGCCCCCTACCAGCGACGATACTACCTCCTAATCAAAATCAAACAGTGGTCATGAAAACCCCAGCTGACCCCAAGGGTGGGCAATCACCAAGCAGCAAAAGATCTCTATGAAGGTAGGTCCCAAACGTCTTGTGGAAGGCAACCCCAAGCCGCAAGGGCAGTACTTACAGGGCTCCTAGGCAAGATGGCCCAAGGCACATGCAGCCCCAGTACTCTGTGAATTACTCCTGGTTCGCACACCCACACACAGCAGAACAACACTGCAAAGGCACAGTACTGCACAGACACAAAAGCCAGAGTTGAACGACCGCCACTCAACACATCAGCCTCAGAACTGGGGTTGGATGGCTGGTGCAGGGGTCTGGGGACACCCCCTTCCCCTTTCTGGGAAGGAGGGAGCTGTGCAGACAGCGGAGCAGCGGCGGTTGTGATGTCATGCTTGTTTGCTTGTTATCCGATTGGGGAGTTGTGCTTAGTAGTTCGGCTGTTGGTAGCCATTTTGAACCAGGTGAAGTTTGTTTTGGGACGCCTACCTTTCTGGGTGCTTAACCTGGTCAATGGCAGACTATGGAATGCTTCCATCCACATGGAGGTTTCTATAGGCCATTGCTCCTCGTGCCTCTCTGAGGGGGCCAGGTTCTGGCTCATGGTCCCTGGTAGGCAAGAACTCCAACTGAATTGACTGATGTCACGGTCTAATACGTACATATTAGCCCAGTGGCATTCCGGGGAGCCAGAGGGGCTCTCCACAGAAAACACGATTTAGTGATCTAGGTCATCATTATGTGATAACATTTATAGTATGAACAAGTATGAAGCTGGAAATATCCACAGTTTTCCATGTCCAACATTTATTTCAAATTGTCACTCTTCGGCATAAAATTTATTAATTATATTTCTAGTTAGAGGTACAGTATTTATTTGATTGTGCCTATTTATTTATTAAATTGATAGTCCTAAAATACTGTACCAATATAAACCAATTTATTGATATAACAAAACATCCGTAAAATAAAAAATTTAATCCTCCAAGTGAAAGCAAGTGAAAAATTCAATGGTACCTGAAGATATAAGGTATCCACAAAAGAAGCCATTGGTGCAAATTCCTGGATTGTCTTGTTCTATGTAGGTAAGGACCCCAACACCAAAAAGGCTGCCAAGGTTGATGCACCAATAGAACCAGTTGAAAAATGACCGAGTTCTCCGTGGATTCGCAGTATTGAGCTGAAAAGGAATAAACAAAATGCACATTAAATTGTAACAAGAGTGTTCACAAACCTTTCAACTGTGCATGTCAATCAGGATTGGTTTCTGGTGAAGTGTAAGATTTATAACTACCACAAGTACACAGGCTAACATCGGCTTCCTCGGGCCTCCAGTAAACAGACGCTATCCTGGATAAAAAAAAAAAAAAAAAAATTGTGGGCAAAACAAAACCCGAGGCGAGAGACGTGGTGCCTGCGAACATATTGAGCGAGGGCTCCAGGAGGCGCCAAGGCACCAAACCACGAAAAACCCGAAGAGGAAGCCGGCGACGGAGCAGCCGACACAAGGCCCACTGGGGAAGAACCCAGCGGTCACGAGCAGGTGGCACGCTCGGTTAGGCAGGGCCCCCCTTTCCCCTGCTGGGGAGAGGGGGTCACAGACCAGTGCTCCCTTCGCTATTCTGAGGGAACCAGGTTCTGGCGCGTGGTTCCCAGTAGGCATACGAATTCCATATGACTGATGCCCTGGACTAATACAGTTAATATCAGTTCAATAGCACCAGGGAGCCAACGGCGCTCCCAACAGAAATATAATTTAAAACAGGAACTAAATCTTACCTTGTTGTAGTTTATCTTCTTGTTTGATATTATAGATTAAGAAATTTGTAGTTCTTGAAAATTTACGTGACCTAATCTCCAGTCATGCAGGTTTCTGTCCTGATTCGCTCTGATATGGCGAAGATTTGCCAGAAAATTATCCTGATGCGACTTTGTCCAAATAACTCACATATTTGGTTCAGTGGCCTTCAGATAAGTGAACTCATACAGAAACTCAAATTTCGATCAGTTAGATGAGGCAGTTGTGGCACATCTTTATGAGGAGTGAGTGAAAGCCTCTAGAGTACGCAACATAGTACTCTAGAGTGTCGCAGCACTCTCACACACTCTCACTTCGGGCCTTACTTTTCCTCCCTCGGTGCCACTGTCCACCTAGGGGGAAGCACTTTAGTTGCACCCAGGGTTAGGGTTCCCTGAACCCAGTCTTGCCCCGGTGTCAAGTAAAGTAAGCTGATACCTGCTTGATGGGGTTCTGGGAATTCTTCTACTCCTCAAGCCCGGCCCGAGGCCAGGCTTGACTCGTCAGAGCTTGATCCACTAGACTGTTGCTTGGAGTGGCCTGCAGGCCCACATATCCACCACAGCCTGGTTGGTCCAGCACTCCTTGGAGAAAATTAGATCATTTTCTCTTGAAAATGTCCACTGTTATTCTGGCAATATTTCTTATACCTGTACAGTGACACCTCGGCTTACAAATGCCCCTATTTACGAACTTTTTGGATTCTGAGCCTAATTTCTTCGGAAAATCCGAATCAGATTACAAGCTTTGCCTCAGGAAACGAAGTTTGTTGATACACGTATGGCCGACCTAGCACGTGGTGGCATGGTGATTGCGCCTCAGTTTACCAGTGCCTCCTGCTTAGTGATGATCGTGCCTGAATTCTTTGTAAAGAATTACACTTTTTTTTTTTTTTTTTGGGTATTTGAACATAAAAGTTGTTATTATATATCTTGCCATGGATCCCAAGAAAGCCAGTGGTAAGGTTCAAGCCAAGAAAACACATGTGAGAATGACCATAGAGGAAAACCAAGAGATCATTCGTAAATATGAAAATGGTACACGGGTTGTTGAACTAGCTAGGCAATACAACAAATCTATGTCAATGATATGCACTGTACTTGTTAAGAAAAAGGACATTATGAGTGCTAAAGTGGCAAAAGGCGCATCAACAATCACAAAACAAAGAACACAAACACTTGAGGATGTTGAAAAGTTGTTATTAATTTGAATACACAACAAGGAGTTAGCAGGTGATAGCATTTCAGAGGCCATCATTTGTGAGAAAGCAAGGCAATTGCACGAAGATCTTTTAATGAAAACCCCTGGAACGAGTGCTGCAGATACGAAAGTTTTTAAGGCAAGCCGGGGATGGTATGAGAAATTTAGAAAAAGTGGTATTCATAGTGTTGTGAAGCACGGAGAGGCCGCCAGCTCAGACAAACCAGCGGCTGAAAGATTTATTGACAAATTTAAAGATTTTGTAGAGAGTGAGGGATACCTACCACAACAGGTGTTTAATTGTGATGAGGCAGGACCATTCTGGAAAAGACTGCCTTAGAGGACATACATTACCTAGGAGGAGAAGTCATTGCCCAGACACAAGCCTATGAAAGATAGATTTACTCTTGAGCTGTGTGGTAATGCAAGTGGCGATTTGACAATTAAACCCTTGCTTGTGGATGATTCTGAAAATCCAAGGGTTTTCAAAAAATATAATGTGCAGAAAAGCCACATGTGTGTGATGTGGAGGGCTAATGGTAAGGCATGAGTAACAAGGCAATTTTTTACAGAGTGGGTGAATGAGGTGGTTTGTCCTGCCATAAAAAATATCTGCAGGAGAAAAGTTTGCCACTGAAAGCTGTGCTTCTCCTTGACAATGCTCCTGCTCATCCTCCAGGCTTGGAAGATGCATTGTTGGACAAATTTAATTTTGTTACAATAAAGTTCCTTCCTCCTAACACCACTCCTCTAACTCAGCCTATGGACCAGAAAATCATATCCAATTTTAAAAAACTTTATGAAAGGGCACTTTTCCGGAAATGTTTCGAAGTGATTGATGCCACAAACCTCACCCTCAAAGCGTTCTGGAAAAACCATTTTAACATTCGTAGTGCTTTAAAACTCATTGACAAAGCCTGGCAAGGAGTGACTCAAAGAATCCTCATCTCTGGCTGGAGAAAATTGTGGCCTGATTGTGTTTCAGAACTAGACTTTGAGGAGTTTGAGCCTGTTACTCTGGGCCAGAAATTGGGCTTGGAGTTGGATGGTGCTGATGTGGAGGAGTTGGTGCAACCGCGTCCAACAGCCTGGTTGATCAGTCCAGCAACCGGGAGGCCTGGTCGATGACTGGGCCACGGGGACGCTAAGCCCCGGAAGCACCTCAAGGTAACCTCAAGGTATGTATGCCGTATATGTTCTTTGCATTCCCTCCATTTCAGCAATCTCTCCCGATTTGAAGGGGAAAGTGAGTACTGAGCAGTATTCAAGATGGAACAGCACAAGTGATTTGAATAGTACAACCATTGTGATGGGATCCCTGGATTTGAAAGTTCTCATAATCCATCCTATCCTTTTTCTGGCCGACGCAATATTTGCTTGGTTATGCTCCCTAAACGTTAGGTCATCGGACATCATTATTCCCAAATCCTTGACATGCTGCTTTCCTACTATGGGCAGATTTGATTGTGTTTTGTACCATGTATTATATTTAAGGTCCTCATTTTTACCATATTTGAGTACCTGGAATTTATCACTGTTAAACATCATGTTATTTTCTGTTGCCCAGTTAAAAACTTGATTGGTCTACAAGTGGTCCACTGTAATGTAATAACATTAATGATCACATTAATATGAAATAAGCCTTTTAACGTACCTGTTCAGCACCGAAAGGTGCGATGTTGCTCTTGACAATGCCAACACCTAAACCCACAATTGTCACGGATATGTAAACAGCAACCTTGCAAGGTGCATTAGGAGCACCATTTGGATCATAACCTGAGGAATTTATTAAAATTATTATGGTGAAAGAAATTATCAGTTATTATATAATACACCAAGAGGTATTACAGTATAAATTTACCAGTCCATCCTAAAATGATAAAACTTATAGCAACTACTTGGTCCAACTTATGAATGTGTAATGTTGGACCCCTAAATAGTTTAAACTTTGTATTATTGAATTAGGCCAAATATCATTCTAGAAAATTGGAAATGCAACTAAAGAACCCAAACCTAACCAAGAAATCCTAGGATTCATACATGCTATCTTAGGCCTACCTATCTTAGACTTAATAGTGTAAATATGTGCTAGGAATGTTTAAGATTGGTTTTAACTATTTTCCTCGGACTCAATAAAATGAATACAGTAATACAATATGTAAATTTTGGAGACCCAAACAGATTGGTATACGAGACCAAATAGTTGCTATAGGTAGTGTACCATCATTTTAGGAGAGTGAACTAAAATAAAGTGTGTATGCTGCTAATATGATGAGAAAAGTTTATTTAAACTGGTCTGTGAACAAGAACCTATATTTTGGGTGAGGTCTACATCCACAGAGCTCGAAAATGGGAGATAGCATTGCAACGGTTGCAGAATTGTGCATGTTAAGCTATTGCTCCTCTGCCACTCATGTTTTTTATTTATAAATGAAAAATAATTGTTAACAACATTTGGAAGGAACCTATTTTATGAATTGATGCAATATGTACGGAACTGAGTAATTAACCAAACTATACCAGTGGCTAAAGATAAAGCATGCATTAAGAGATTGGATACCAAATCTATAGTTCTTAGCCAGGTGGTTATATTGTTATTTTTAAATGAATTTTATGAGTAAGCACATGGACAGTGTATTATAATCTACTAGTATATTATACCCATATTATTTTATAGCACTTATGCAAAACATTCCTAAAATAGCATACTTGGTACCTGCAGGAGCAAAATTGATATGGCTGAGAACTGGACCCTGGTTGAGAGGCAGAATCAGGCACCCTAATATTCAGTGGCATGTATTGGGGAACCACTATACATTAAGTTCTTGCTTGGCAAAACACCGTGGTACATCACTGAGATGGAGCTTTGCCTTCAAATTAATTGTGGCATTTGGTGGTTGAGAACTAGCTCTTAGGCTTTCGTGGTGGGGGTTCTTGGTCACATTTGGATTTTACCCTCCATATTGCACCTACCTAGTTATCTGCCATTGTGTCAGTCTATGCAACATTTGCACACAAACACTAGAGGATAAATGACAGGCAACACTGACAGATCCACAGTATGATACTCTAACCATTAATACTTTCGCTGGCCTGGCAAGTGACCCACTGCGCACCTCTAGGTAAACCAAGCGGAGTGCGTGAACAAACCACAAATGTTTATACTCTTTTTAGCTTTGTCACCTCAATTTTCATGCTACATTGTTCAATTTGGCATCAAATTGTTCACAATAGGATGCTTTAAAGGAATATGAACATATAAGAACATATAAGTATCACTTTCCTATACTTTAGACCTGCTGCACACTGCAAGGTAGGCCGAGGGCTCACCATCACACAAAATTGTTTATACTCTTTTTCAGCTTTTTGGCCTCAATTTTCGTGCTACACCTTTCAATTTGGTATCAAATAGTTCGCAATAGAATATTGTAAAGGGATATTTGCATATAAGAACATATGTATCTCTTTCCTGTACTTTAGACCCACTGCGCACCGCAAGCTAGTCCGAGTGTTGCCCAAGAGCTCACCACTCCAATGTATATTCTCTTTTCAACTTTCTCACCTCAATTTTCATGCTACGTCGTTCAATTTGGTATAAAATTGTTCGCAATAGAATGTTGTAAAAGGATATTTGCATACAAGACCATATAAGTCTCACTCTTCTATTCTTTCGATGAAAATTCAATAATGTTTCCCTCATACGTGTTTCTTTCAATGCTTTTGTCATGGATTGGCTCTGTTCTTGATCAGTATCCATATGGAAGTCAATTTGCAGTGTTTATAAAGCTGGTATTAGAGGTATTACCCGAGATAAAATAACCAGAATGAGGAAACTTTTCGACTCAAGGGGGAGGCTGCGGCTACATATCAAGAATGAGGTAACGAGAACAATGAGCTTCCAGCACAGGTGGGTGCCCACACGGATCAGGATGCCAAGTGGGGTATAAAGAGAATGGGCAGAAACTAGCACACATTTTAAAACAAGTCCCATAGTATTCGGACAATAAATGGAATTTCTACAAAGTTGTAAATTATTTACGTCTATTTGCGTCATTAGGCATACTCCGTATTTTGGCTTTATGCCACAATATCGAGCAGCGAAAGTGTTAATAAAAGGCCATCAATGGGTCATAACACACATGCAAGGCAATGGAAAGATTAAAGCAAGGCTACAAGCACCAGCTTAGTAGATTGTAACAAAAACCTAGCAAATGTTATGTATCCACGCCTTGTATTTATTATTCATATATACAGAAAAAGCCTGTAAGCATGGTGGAAGTGCTGCAATGTTCACATCAGTTGATGACGTTGCCATCTTTTCAGGTACAGCTATTACAGAAAATTTATTTACTTTTATTTATTTATTTATTTATATATACAAGAGTTGATACATTCTTGTACAGCCAATAGTATAGGTAGCGTTACGGGCAAGTCCTTAATCCTATGTTCCCTGGAATATGACCCCGCAAAAAATTGTTTAACAGCCAGGTACCCATTTCATTGTTGAGTTAAACAGAGACTACAGTTAAGAATTTGCGCCCAGTAAATCCTCTCCTGGCCAGGATATGAACCCCAGGACAAAGTGCTCGCAAAACACCAGGCGAACGACTTAACCACTACACCACGGGGACTGTAGTAGTTAAGTGCACCCGATAAAACACAATATATATGGAATGAGATTAAAGATTAAAAAATAAAATGGTGCAATTAACTTGAAGAGGACCAAACAAAGGGAACTAGGCATCTATGTTTACAAAATACAGTAGATACAATATATACAAAGATACAAAGAAAATGTATTGTACAGTATGTAGTACGTACTAATATAATTACTTAACAATAACAATTAAGATTACAAGTATACATACCCATACTATCATTATTTGCTTCACATATGGTCCGTGGCAGCCGGTCAATTGCCATTAGGGTCAGAAGGATATAACCACTTATGTATAATAAAAATCCCACCACCATAGTCTTAAAGCGTCCAAGCCATGCATCCGATATATATCTGAAAAAGTTTCACGCCATTTAAAGTACACCATAATATCGATTATTACACAAAATAAAACCTGAAATTACATATAAAAACCAGCGCTGTAAAGACATGCCAGTTTCTGGTGAGCCCCGGAGGCTCCCGAAGCTATCTATGCTGATACAGTACAACCTCAATTCAGCACACCCCAATTCACTGCATCTACGGCTAAGTCGCACACTTTTCAGGTCGGATTTACTCACCCATTTCAACAAACAATGCTTCGCTGAAATGGGGGATGTGCGGATTTGCTTACGATGTTGGGACAGAGTTCACAGACAGGTGGAAAACTTCCTCATTCTATCACAGGTTACAATTAATAATTCCTTCATATGACAAGTTGGATCACACAAGTGGACCACACAACAAGTGAACCATATGAACCAAACACCAGCCAGAATGGTCCACACAAGTGAATGACTGTTTCCATGATTTTTGTTCACCGATTTGTGGCACATGTATTTTTGCAGATTAATTTCAAGGCTGAAGTGTGAATAGCTAGCTAATGTGTTGAAATTTTAGAATCTGAATCCTCCTTAGGAATCTGAGGTTTGCATCCATGTGGATGCAAACCTCCTGCACCTTACTGTGCACCCAACATTGTGTTGGGAGCACAGTAAGGCCAACACCCCTGGATGGGCTGGTGAATGTTGGTTATAAAGCCCCAGCCCAAAGCAGACACACCTGTAAAAACAATGAGCAATGACAGAGGAAATCGTCAAAGAACTGAACCCCGAAAAGACCAAAGAGAAAGCCGGCAAAGCAGCAATCAACAAAGGGTGATCAAGGCCCGAACCCATTGGTTGTGGTGGCATCAAAAGGGAGCAGAACCTGAGAAACTAGAATAGCCCCCAAAGCCTCATCCTGCTTACACGAAAAACCATGCAAGCAAAGTTCAGGCTCCTGCACACTAGCTCGAGTAAATGCTAAGTAACAGAGCTATTTTAACACACCAACAGGTGGTGGTGTTGCAGCTGGAGCAAAGCCATCGGAGGAAGGGAGAGTAACACCGACTGAGAGTCCCACATGAGGCCCAGCCAAATCCAAACCTGGGATGGAGCCAACTGGTACTTCCGCCAGTTCACCAGGAACCCGAACCCAGTGAGATGGGAAAGAACCCCCTCCATCCATCTCTGGCTAGCAGATATGTGGACTGACTGGGAGCCCACACCAGCCAGTCATCAAGGTAGGCCAGAACACAAACTCCCAACTAACAAGTCCCCACAGCCCAAGCCAATCTGGTTAAAACACAGAGTCAGATCCAAGTAGAAGGGAAAACCCTGAAGAGGTAAGCTTGACTCCCTACAACAAAGCCTAATCAATCCTTGAACCTTAGATGCATGATGATGTGCCAATAAGTGTCCTAGAGGTCTGAAGAAATCTTCCACAACCTAGTCTCCAATATCAATAGAACCTGGGCCAGAATGGTCTTGTGGAAAGTGTGACAGGGAATGAACTTATTCAAGGAATGAATCTGTTCAACCTCAAAAGATTGAAGATGAAGCGGGGCTCCACCGAGTCCAATTTCAGAACTGGGAAGAGGCGAAACATCCAGCGAAGAGACGTGGTTGTTTTGACTAGGCTGGAAGCTAACCACTCCACAATGACTCGATGGAGGCATGGGGAAAAAGCCTGTCCTGAAAGCCCTGAACCCCTCCCCTGGAGGTGGGAGTCCTGAGAAAGAAAAAGTGAGCTGTGTGTACCTGTGGGAGTTTTGAATCTTATGATATGCTAACAAACTTCTTATTTAGGGAGGTGAACCCCTTTTCCATGATATCATGGCAAGTGCAATACAATGGTTAAGCAACTTGTTCACACTGTAAAGACAGCGATAAATACGAGTCAGAAAATCCAGACGAGAAAATTGTAGATGGCCAAACCAGTGAAGTACGTCATTAGGCCAATCCCATTGAAAGAGGTGAAACCACAGAAAAATGTTCTGGTTCAGACAAGGAGCAAGCAGTGCTTGAAACCTAGAATGAGCCAGCGACCAAGAAGCCAGAAGGATCACCCTCCCGTGGACAAACTCCAATCTGGCTAGGACAAGGAGCAGCAGCAAAATTAGGGAAAAGAAGTACAGAAACTGCCCCCCCCCCCCCTCAACCTGTCCAGCTGAAAGGCATCTACTTCAAGAGCCTTGCAATTGGGGACAGGCACCAAAAATAAAGGAAGGCACTGAAACCCCACCAACGTGAAGAGGTCCATGTCTGGGGAACTAAACATCTCATAAAGTGACAGGAAAGAGCCGAACCATCTGCAAGGACATTGGACACTTCCTGGATATGAATGGCATGGAGAACCAAACCCTGAGAACCCAGCAGAAGAGCCTGAAACATCATGCATGTTAGTGACTTTGCAAAAATGTAAGAACACCAATGTTATGCACTCTCACAACCAAATGTACCTTCTTGTATACTTTATAAATAAATAAATTAAGAATTAAATAAAGAGAACTAAACAAAGTGTCCAGCTTCAAAGAAGCAGTTACTGAAGCAAACCCCACGGTTGAGACAAGGAACCACAGGGAAAACAGTCCGAATGGAGCCAGAGCATGGAGCCCGGAGGAATCCAAACTCTCCTCAGCACATGCTACTTGGCCACAAACTCCAAACTGTACTGTGACCCCGATGAAGGAGAGGAGACTGGTCTAACCCAGAGCCGAGGCATCCGTGAATATGTCAAGCAAGGGTGGAGGAAGAGGCTAAAGAACTCAAACCCCAAAAAGCCCAAAAGAGGAAGCCAGTGACACAAGCTGACACAAGGCAAACGACCCGCACCCAACGATCGTAGCGGTGGCTAAAGGGACTGCCCCAAAGAAACTAGAACAGCTGCTAAAGCCAAACCTTGCCCAGAGGAATTGCAATACAGGCAAAGTTCAGGCTATTGCACAACAGCTTGAGCAAACCCAAGTCACCCAAGGCCAACTCAACACCGAAAGACGGCAGTAGCAGCTAAATCAAAGCTGTGAGAGGCAGGGTTTCTCTTGCTTTCAGTTGATGGGTGAACGAGCTTTATGCTCTCTTCTGGTGTCGGGGGTTTTTGTTCTTTTGGCTCTGGTGAGAGTTTTGTTCATCTGCAGCCGGCTCCTCATTTTCTAGTGAAGAATGTGTCAGTAGGCTTCTGGAGGGGTCCTTTGGTCATTGATGTTTGGATGGTTGAACCAGGGGGTGCATCTTGTGTAGTGTCCGATGTCAGCTCTCCACCCCTACCCTTGTGCCACCGATTCTGACTCGATGGATACTCTGTGGGTTGATCCTGTTGCCTTGGCCCTGTTACAAGGCTCGTCTTTCTCTGGTTATCCATAGTGTCGTTAAGTCTAGGCAGCCTGTGGTCTACCCTCGCACCCATGATATTTGGAAATATGCTGCTCTCTGCTATGTTTGCTAATGTATTCTGGGACCGGAATTTGGGCACAGGTATCTTGGAGGTCAAACAAGGTTCTGGCAACCCAGCATCTTGTAAATACTGTATATCCGGGCTTCAGCGCCCTTGTGTTGCTCAGGGTCATGTTTCTCAGCCTGGTCTCTCTTCTTCATCCAATATATGTGGCACTCCCTCCTCTCTGTTAAGTGCCCTTTTGTTGTCCTTCTCTGTGAGTAATTAGCTTCAGGGAGCCACAAGGAGGTCTCTCCCCAGGAAAACCAGTGTTGAGTGTAATGAAATGCCAATTTCTGGGTGAGCCCTAGTGGCACCCTTGAGGTTACCCCGAGATGCTTTCAGGGCTTAGCATTCCCGCAGCCCAGTCGTCAACCAGGCCTCCTCCCCGCTCGACTGGTCAACCAGGCTGTTGGACGCAGCTGCTCGCAGCCTGACATACGAGTCACAGCCTGTGATGGCTGACTCTGCTGAAATGATTGGCCATTACATCTACCATAGAACTGAGGGTAGGTTCACCAGCTGACTGGGAGCTGCCTCTCCCAAGTGAGTGGGGAAGGTGGGGTGAACAAGTTGGCACTAGTTTCAAAAGACTATTTGTTTGTTGCATTGTTTAGGGAGCTCTTTTTGCAGTTCTCAAGGCTGCGGTCTAGACCAAAGACAGCAGTTTGGTTTTTTCCTGATGTTCTGGGTATTTTCCCAGGTGGTAGCATGAATAAATAAATGTCACATCCCCCCACCCCAGAACCTCTGTGACAAAGCTAGGTTCTAGCACAAATCGCCTATAGAACTGTTGCAACGTAAGTATTAGTACACTATCCATGATAGTAGCTTCAGGGAGCTACAAGGGGCTCACCCTAGAAAGGAGGATGTTAAAAATGCATCAAACTTCAAGGCTTTAAAAGTGGGACAACTAATTTAATGCATGCAGATTACTGTAATGTCCTTAGACTGTTTACCCATAAAGTGAGTGTTTGATCACATAGCCAAGCAGAATAAGAAGTTCAATGTTTCAAATACATACTGTACAGTGCAAGGAAAACATGTGTTATGATCCGCTTCAAACTACTGCACTCTAACATTACTCTCCTGAAAACTTTCATTCAACAGAATTTAACAATATTATAATAATTTCCCCCTTAAGAGTCAAGCATATCCAGATGAACAGTAAAGAGACCTACCCGCCCAAGAGAGCAGACATGTATGAGACTCCAGCCAAGACAAACACAGCATTCATAGCATCCAGGGAATCCCAAGCCTGGGGCCCATCCCATGGACCCTTTGATAACAGAAACTTATATTAGTTAGTATGAACAGAAATTTCACAAATATTAGCTGAATCATATGTCGTAAGTTCTAAAAAGATATCTGTATGTGCATCATGCTTATAACATTGGACTAAACTTCTGAAACAAAGCAATAATTTACCTTGTTGAGAAAGAGAAAGAAGTTTGTGGCAAGAGCATAGTAAGCAAGACGTTCTAAGGTCAGCACCACCAAGATCACTATGGTGGCTGCCGACTGCCTACGAGCATCCCTTGCATCCATCGCTGAAAATGAGAAAAACATTTTAAGACTTCAGTAAGCACTACTAGCCTATCTTCATTCTAACCAAGATATATTTTCATAATATTCATTCAATCCATGTAGTTTTTGAATGGTTTGAATACCAACTGCACATACAGTACAGTATCTGATTAATCATACACTTAGATCATGTGACTCTCTACATTACATTGCAACCTTTGAACAAGTATCCAGCCTTCAACTATCCCATTTATGTAATAAATACAGTACTGAAGAAAAAACAGCATTGAATGTAATGAAATGCCATTTTCTGGGTGAGACACAGAGGCTTCCCAGAGCTTACTAAGCTGATATGCTAATGTCAGACTTTGGCATCAGTCATGTGTATGGAGTTCTGTGGGCCTACCAGGAGCCAGAACTTGGCCCCCTCAGAAGAGGCAAGGGGAGCAATGGCCTATAGAAACTCCTGTGTGGTTGGAAGCATTCTATGTCTGCCATCGACCGAGTCAGGCACCCAGAAAGGTAAGCATCCCAAAACAATCCCCTATTCTTGAGGTTATCTTGAGATGATTTCGGGGCTTTTTAGTGTCCCCGCGGCCCGGTCCTCGACCAGGCCTCCACCCCCAGGAAGCAGCCCGTGACAGCTGACTAACACCCAGGTACCTATTTTACTGCTAGGTAACAGGAGCATAGGGTGAAAGAAACTCTGCCCATTGTTTCTCGCCGGCGCCTGGGATCGAACCCAGGACCACAGGATCACAAGTCCAGCGTGCTGTCCGCTCGGCCGACCGGCTTCCCGGTCGGAGCAAGTAATTCTAGTAAAACATTGCTACCAAAAGCCGAACAAGTGGATAGAACTCCTTTAAACGAAACGAGCAAACGATCATGACGTCACACGTCACCGCGCCGCTGTCTGCGCAGCTCCCCCCCTCCCCGGGACGAGGAACCCAACACGCCGGCTGCACCCCCGTCAACAACCCAGGGACCCCTCCAGAAAGCAGCGTCTCATTCTTCGCCAGAAAAGAAGGAGAAGGCTGCAGACGAACAAACAGATCGCCCCGACCGAAAGAGCAGAAACCCCTGCGCTGTAGGAGAGCATGAAGCTCACCAATCCGACTCCCAGAGGCTAATGCCAACAGGAAAAAGAGCCTTCGAAAAAAAATCTGGAACCGAAGGGGCCACAACAAACAAAGAAGCAAGAAAAGAGCGCGCTCTATCCAAAGACCAGGACGGCTCAGGTGGCGCATGAACAGGCCGGAGGTGAAACAATGCCCGAGACAGCATGCGAAACGGCACAGATGTAACATCAATACCAAAGCAAGCTGAAGCGGCTCCGCCAGCGCAGCACGATACGAGGCGACAGTGTTATGCATAAGGAGACGGTCCTGGAATACCCAAGAGAGAAAGGACACCACCACCCTAACCGAAAGCGAAGTACAACGACGAAAACGTAAGAAGAACCAGAAGGACCGCCAGGAAACCTAAGACTGCCGTCGAGACGAAGCCCACAGGTGGGACATTAACAAGTAAGCCACCTGATCACCATAGAGATGATGATAAACCAGAGTAAAAAATACCATACGCAAAGACTCGAGAAGATCGAACCAGCCACGTGACGCACCGGTCCGATCTGCTGGAAGAGGCGGAGCCGCGGGAAAACCTCTGGATTCGGACACCGAGCAAGCAGCGTCTGAAACCACGGCTAGGCCGGCCACCATGGGGCCAAGAAGACAACTCTCCCCTGGTAAGTCTCCAATCAAGTTAGGACGCGGAGCAACAGCGGAACCGGGGAAAAGAGGTAAAGGCACCCCCACCTCGACCAGTCCTGCCGGAAGGCATTGACCCCGATGGCCTCGCAGTCGGGGAAGGGCGCCACATACTGGGAAAGGCGCCAAGACAAAGCCAACACAAAGAGGTCCACCTCGGGGCGACCGAACATCTGGCAAAGCCAACGGAAGGAGTCGGCATCGACCGTCCATTTCGTGGAGAGGGGAACGAAACAAGACAGGCCATCGGCCAAGTCGTTGGACACTCCCCGCACGTGAACTGGCAGGAGAGCCAAAACCCGAGAACTCAGCAGACAAGTCACCCGAAGTGACCAGAGCCAAAGAGCCAAGGACCGCATTCCATTCCCCGGTTCAGACAATGAATTATACCGGGGAGCAGTCTGAATGGAGCCAGATCGTCGACCCGCGGGTGACCCGAAGCCTCCGAAGAGCAAACCACACCGCCGCGAATTCCCGCACAGTGCTGTGGGTTCAACAGAAAGACGAACCCCACCGTCACTGGCCGGCCTGGTGAGCACTGGTCACAGAGCATCAGCCGAGAGACGACGTGTCCGTGAACACATCGAGCGAGGGCGCGGGTAGGCGCCAAGGCACTGAACCCCAAAAAAACCGAAGAGGAAGCCGGCGACGCATCAACTGACACAAGGCCCCCGGGGTCCGAACCCAGGCGATCGCGAGAGAGGTGGAAGGGACGTCCCTGAAGGAACCAGAACACCCGACAAAACCAAACTCGACCCGGCGGGTAGACTACCATTGCGAAGTTCAGGCTCCCGCACAGACCCTCGAGCAACCGCCAGGTGACCCGAAAGCCCCCCAGAAACAGGCGCATGCAGGACCGCAGCCGCAGGAGAGACTCCGGAGGAAGAGACAAGGAAGTAGTCCAAGAGTCCCACACAAGGCCCAGCCATGCCCGAACCTGGGAGGGAACCAGATGGGACTTCCTCCAGCTCTCCAAGAACCCGAACCCGGCGAGCTGAGAAAGAACCAAATCCCTGGCCAGCAGACAAGAGGACCGGCTGGGAGCCCAAACCAGCCAGTCGTTGAGGTAGGCCAACACCCGAACACCTAACAGACGCAGATGGGCCACCACGACCCGTGTAAGGCATGTGAACACGCGAGGTGCCAGGTTCAACCCGAACGGGAGACAACGAAAACGGTAACCTTGATGCCCCACAACAAAACCGAGCCAGTCCCTGAACCTCCAGATGATTCGGGACATGCCAATAAGCGTCCCGGAGGTCTAGGGACACCATCCAAGTGTCCGGCTCTAACAGGAGCCGAACCTTGAACAGCGTGGTCATCCGAAAGGATGGGCAATAAACCCAGGGGTTCAGACGGGATAAGTCCAGAATGAACTGCAGGCCCGCGCAGTCTCGGTTTGGGACCGGAAACAGACGGGAAACCCATCTGACGGATGTCGTCATTTCGACCACGCCCAAGCGAACCCACTCCAAGATGACCTGACAGAGCGCAGGGGAAGAGGCCTACCCCGCTAGCTCCGGTGCCCTCGTTGAGTGGAGTTGGGGGCCACCCAACGCCACCGGAGGCCGTGCGAAACGACCTGAAACGCCCACAAATTGTGGGACCAGGCATGAGCGAACAGCGCAAGCCTCCCCCCCATCGCCCCGTCAATGGGGCGAACCGCGAAAGGGCCGGCGCCCCTTACAAGACCCAGAACCTCGCACAGAGCAAACACCGCGCCGACCAGACAAAAGCAGGTCCGAAGGAGGAGCCAAACCCGAACCCGACACCAGTAGCCTACCACGAAGAGAAGAACCCCGAGCCTGGGCACGACTCTTCTGGGAAGGCCCACCATGGGACTCCCGGAGAACCAGCAAGTCCGACATAGTACGGCAAGAAGCTGAAGCAGCCTGAATATACTGCGCAACGGCGGAAGCGTCAAACAGGAGAGGACAAAGGCTGAGGCACAACCTAACCTTATCCCTGAGTTCTTTGTGGAGAACTAAGTGCTCTACCCCCATTATAGACCCAGTAAATTGAAGGAGGACAACAACTGGGCTAACGTCAACCAACTGGTAGTTCCCACCAGCCTAAGGCAAGATATCTTGCGTCTGGCACATGGCCCTCTATCACACTACAGTTTCACACTGCAGGACTCAGTGAAGTATGAATTTGTTGGAGAATCGAGCCTGCTGAATGGATCGTCGAGAATGGTGATCCAAGGAGATGGTGAGATGGTTCATCAGATGCAAGGCCCAGCGTAGCAAGTGCTGGTTGGAGAACTGGGCCAGCAGTAGGAACTGAAGGAGATTGTGATACAAGATGTTCACATGGTGCTGCAGGACTCGGCAAAGTTTGGAGAACTGAGCCTGATGTAGGGACCGAAGAATGTTGAGGTCCAAGGAGATGTTGAGGTTCTGCTGCAGGACCCAGTGGAGTACTAGACTGTTGGAGAACTGGGCCTGGTGCATGGACCGAAGAATATTGAAGTCCGAAGAGATGTTGAGGTTGTAACCTTGTAGATTTGACGAGTCGTTGTGTTGCATGCTGGGCAAACAAGGGCGGATGAAACCCCCCAGCACACTCAGAGCGGTCAATCACTGAGCAGCAAAAGACCAAGCAGAGGTAGACCCCAAAGTGACTTGTGGAAGATGGCCCCAAGCCCCAAAGGCAGTACTTATAGGGCACTTAGGGAAGGGAACCAAAGCGTATGCAGCCCGAGTACCTGTGAAGATTATTCCCAGCTCACGCACCACCTCGTAAGACAGTACTAGATAAGGAACAGCACTGAACACAAGAATCAGGAGGTGGAGTCACACGACCAATGCCTAGACACATCAGCCGAGAACTGCAGGTGTGGGTAGCCGGCGCGAGGGAACTGGGACTCCCCCTTCCCCCTCCCAGGGAGGGGGGGAGCTGCGCAGACGGTGGCGCGGCATGTGGTGACGTCATGCTCGTTTGCTCGTTTTTATTTGGGGAGTTGGGGAGTTCTGTCCACTCATTTGACTTTCAGTAGTAGTTTCAACCGGAACAGGGGTTTGTTTTGGGATGCTTATCTTTCTGGGTACCTGATCCGGTCAATGGCAGACATAGAATGCTCCAAATCATATGTGCAGTTCTGTAGGCCATTGCTCCTCGTGCCTCACTGAGGGGGCCAGGTTCTAGCTCGTGGTCCCCAGTAGGCCTAAGAACTCCATTCACACTGACTGATGCCAAAGTCAAATATATCCATATCAGCCTGGATAGCTCCAGGGAGTCGAAGGGGCTTCTCCCAGAAAACCTGTTAAACAAGATATGCCATACCAATGACTATAGTTTTTAAGACAAGTGTTTTTTAGAGTGGAATATTGTTGCACAATAACAATCCCCATTCAAAGCTGGAGAAATTGCTGACATGGAGAATGTGCAAAGAACCTTTTCTACTATAATCCACTATATAAAACATCTAAATTATTGGGACAGATCAAAATGTTTAAATCTGTATTCTCTAGAATATAGATATCTTGCAAGATACATATCTCACAGGATCTGAAATAGATACATATTATTACAGATAATACTGTATGTATCTCTCACGGGTGAGAGAAACATCATACAGGTAATTTACACCTGGAATATATTAGAGGGACTTTTACAATATCTGTACACAGAAATAACATCACACGAGACCAGGAGGCATGGCAGGATAAGCAAAATAGCCCCATTGCAAAGCAGAGGTGTACAATAACAGGTAAACTGAGAGAGAGAACTCTATCAACATCAATGGACCAAGACTTTTCAACACTACCTTTACACATAAGGGGAACAACTGACCAGCCTCTCATGGTATTCAAGAGAACTCAATAAACGCCTCCAATGGATACTTGATCAACCAGGCTGTGAGTCATACATCAGGCTGTGAGCAGCTGCATCCAACAGCCTGGTTGACCAAGGGCTAGATTCACAAAGTAGTTAAGCAAACACTTACGAACCTGTTCATCTTTTCTCAATCTTTGGCAGCTTTGTTTACAATTATTAAACAGTTAATGAGCTCCGAAGGACCAGGAGGCTGTTTAAAACAATAATGACAGTTGATTGGCAAGTTTTCATGCTTGTAAACTGTTTAATAAATGTAACCAAAGCCATCAAAGATTTGAGGAAAGATGTACACGTTCGTAAGTACTTGCATAACTGCTTCGTGAATCTGGCCCCAGACCATCAACCAGGAGGCCTGGTCAGAGAATGGGCCATGGGAATATGGAATCTCAGAATCACCCCAAGGTAAGATAATTAAGAAATTAATGCTTGTGAATGACTAGTTAATCATGTTACAAAAAGAACGTTAATAGTGAATGGAGAAGTCAGGTGGTAGGCTGACCCTCTATCTCATTTACAGTTTATGGACAAATAAAGCATAATAAAATATTACATAATAAAACTGGGGATACTTACTGTAAGCTACACTGCATAAGGTATAACATCTGACATGCACCGAGCTGCAAAAGCATTGTACACGAATAAGCTACCTGAGGGATGTCGAGGCAAGAGGGGTGTTCGCTCCGTGGGCATGGTAGACATTGGTGCTGCTAGGATAAAGGCTACACGTGTTTGCAAATACCAGTGTCAAACCTTTTAACTATACAGCACATCAAACCCCAATAATTCCTGCAATGAATAGTTTGCAAGATTCAGCATGTCTAAAAATAAATTTATACTTTATGTACAGTATTATGATATGCTGTACTACTGTACAGTACTCTAAAGATTACATCAACACAAGCATATAAAGGACTACATTATAAATTAGTGTACTAATTTACTTTAAACTGTAAAAAATACAGCTTTGAGTGATGTCACAAAGGAAGTACAGTTAAAGTTAATGTTGGTAGTACAATATATGTCATATGCAAAATTTTTTTACTCTACATTAATTCTGTAAACAATTTTGTTGTTGTTCAATTATATTGCATGTACATATATACAGGATTTAGATAATAAATCAGTAAATGTAATAATACATTTTATAAGGATAACAATAATACAGCTATCCACAACAGTGACACCCTTTGGATGTGCCTGTTGAGATTTCGAAGTGGCTGATTTGTATGCTTTGTTACTTAAGGATATAAAATATGTGCTGTATTTACTTGTGACATTTTGTAATTACAAGCTTCAAATAGCTCTTATTTTACTGTTAACATTAATACATACCAGTATATACACGCTTAAACAGCAATAGTACATTGTTAGGGCAGAGCTGAGCTGAGTGTAACTGGCCTTGGTTATTAAAGAACATATTAGAAACTGGTTTAAAAACTGCTTTATTGAGTCTGGGAGTGAATACAGTATGTGAATTGAATTTTCAACCGTTCTTACACCAATAGAAATGACAGGAATAATATTTACTGTCAAACAGCTTCTCACATCTATGTATTTACCCATTTCCAACCATCTTGTAAGACTGTAAGAAAACTGCCAAACGAGAAACATAAGAACATAAGAACAAAGGTAACTGCAAAAGGCCTATTGGCCCATACGAGGCAGCTCCTATTTATAACCACCCAAAACACATACTTGTTCTTCTCAGGATGCTCATATGATAGGATGATCATTTAAATAATAAAGCAGCAGGAGGACGTATGAAGGGTAATTACAGATGAAAGGAATTCTTTCATACAAATTTACATTTCATGCCTAATATACTGCTGGTAACTCCAACAGAAATTTGTCAAATTCTCTCTTGAATGCTTCTACTGTACTGTTGTTTCAGTGATATTTCATATACATATACTGAATGATGATTGAAGTCATCACTGATGTTTATATCATACAGCAGCTTCCTTCGGTTTCATATGATGAAGAGAGTTAACCATATAACTTTGCGATTTATTCTTCAAGGGTACGCCGGGGCACACACGGCACCTCTGCCCTCGTGATCCCTAAACCAACCAATAATTAAAATTACTTATATATTTGTTATAACTATGGATGGACCCTTTGTGATCCCCAAATATATAGCTTTTTCCCAAAATCCATTTATATCACTGCCAAGGACAGATTACCTGAATTTACCAGAGGGTCACCAACACTAGTAGCTTCGAAGAGGACAGAAAGCTAGCAGCTTGTCAAAGGTCCCCCCATTTGTCCTGATGATTTCTTCAAGCTGGATTTTAAAATTCAACAGAGCTGAATTTTACAGGTTTATTTTACATTTACAGCTTCAACAGTTAGGCAGTTCAATGGGTTTAAAACCTTATGGGTGAAAAAGAATCTCTTGCTTTCAGTCCTATATTATGGCTTGGGCTTGAAACTGTTGCTCCTTGTTTGTGTTACATCTGACCTTTTGAAGTTGCAAGCTACAATTAGCCTTAACCCGCCTACCTCTTGGCAATGCACCTGGAGAGGATGGAATTCCATATGAACTTATCAAATATCTTCCATCAATTGCACATAGCACTCTTCTAAACTATTACAACCTTTGCTGGACTCAAAGAAATATTTCCTCACAATGGCAGACCAGTTTTATTCTTCCTTTCATTAAACCAGGAAAACACCCTTTCCAACCTGTGTCATACAGACCTATCTCCTTACTATCATGCCTCAGTAAAGTCATGGAAAGGCTAGTACATACTCGCCTCCAATGGTTATCTTGAGGCTATCTTGAGATGATTTCGGGGCCTTTTTTTTTTTTTTAAGTGTCGCCGCGGCCCGGTCCTCGACCAGGCCTCCACCCCCAGGAAGCAGCCCGTGACAGCTGACTAACACCCAGGTACCTATTTTACTGCTAGGTAACAGGGGCATAGGGTGAAAGAAACTCTGCCCATTGTTTCTCGCCGGCGCCTGGGATCGAACCCAGGACCACAGGATCACGCTCGGCCGACCGGCTCCCTTGGTACCTTGGTACCAAGGGTATATATGGTATATAATGGTACCTTGATTATAATAATATTTTACCGTCACTCCAAGCTGGATTTCGACCGCAACGCTCCACACTTGATCAAACACTCTGCCTTGAACATGAAATCTGCACCTCTCCCAGAAGTAATAAATTTTGTATTGTTCTCTACCTAGACCTTGCAGGAGCTTTTGATAGCATTCCTTATACAGTACTTGTCTCCGGGCAAAGTTTGCACATTTAGGCATATAGGGATGATTACTTCTATGGTTACAGTCCTATCTTATGAACAGAACCTCTAAAGTTTATATACAAGGCGAGTTTTCAGATAGCATTCCAATACAAACGGGTGTCCCGTAAGTCTCCAAGGTTACTGAGTGGCGTGACCACTCCATGAGTGGTTACTCATAGGAATGAGTGACCACAGTGTATTGACATTTGAGTATCTGGTAGAGGTAGGGATAACCTATCCAAGGATGGGATTTCAAGGGAAAAGACAAAATTACCGAAGAGGAAAATATGATGAGATAAGGAACTTCATAATGGGAATACCATGGGAAACAGAATTCAAATAAAAGACTGTACAGGATATGATGGATTATGTCACCCAGAAGTGCCAGGAAGCTGCAGACAGGTTTATACCAGCCCAAAAAGAGAAAAATGAAAAGCAACAGAATAATCCATGGTTCAATCCGGAATGTTCGGCAGTGAAGCAATTGAGTAAAAGTACGTGGAGAAACTACAGGAACAACAGAAAACCAGAGAGCAGGGAGAGATACCAGGGGGCCAGAAATGAGTACCTCAGAGTAAGGAGAGAAGCAGAGAGACAGTATGAAAATGACATCACGAGTAAAGCTAAGATACAACCAAAACTGCTCCACAGCCACATCAGGAGGAAAACCGCAGTGAAGGAACAAGTGATGAAACAGAGAAAAGGGGAGAACAGATACACAGAGAATAACAAGGTGTGTGAAGAAGTCAACAAGAGATTCCAGGAGGTCTTCACAATAGAACAAGGAGAAGTCCCTGCTCTAAATGAGGAGGCAAACCAAGCAACTTTGGAGGAATTTGACCTCACCAGTGAGGAGGTCAAAAGGAATTTGTTGGAGCTGAATGTGACAAAGGCTGTTGGGCCTGACAGAATCTCACCCTGGATACTAAAAGAAGATGCAGAGATACTAAGTGTGCCACACTCTATGATGTATACCAGGTCACTGGAAACAGGAAACCTACGGGAAAGCTGGAAGACAGCTAATGTAGTCCCAATATACAAAAAGGATGACAGGCAAGAGGCACTGAACTACAGGCCAGTTTCCCTAACTTCCTAACTTGTATACCATGCAAGGTGATGGAGAACATCGTAAGGAAAAGGGTTGTAGAGCATCTGGAGCGGAAATAGCTTTGTAACACACCACCAGCATGGGTTCAGAGATGGTAAATCGTGCCTCACAGGTCTAATAAAATTCTATGACCAAGCAACACAAATTAGGCAAGAAAGAGAAGGGTGGGCAGACTGCATTTTCTTGGACTGTCAGAAAGCCTTTGACACAGTACCTCACAAAAGGCTATTACAAAAGTTGGAGCAACAGACAGGACTAAAAGGTAAGGTGCTCCAGTGGATAAGGGAGTATCTAAGCAACAGGAAACATCGAGTAACTGTGAGGGGAAGGCATCAGAGTGGCGAGAGGTCACCAGCGGGGTTCCACAGGGCTCTGCACATGGACCCATCCTGTTTCTAATATAATGACTTTCCAGAGGGTGTCGACTCATTTCTCTCAATGTTTGCTGATGATGCAAAAATTATGAGAAGAATCATAACAGATGAAGATAGACAGAGACTACAGGACGACCTGGACAAACTGGTGGAATGGTCTAGAAAATGCCTACTAAAGTTCAACTCAGGAAAGTGTAAAGTAATGAGATTAGGCAAAGGGAACATAAGGCTGAACACAATGTACCATCTGGGAGGTGATATCTTGCGAGTCAAATAGAGAGAATGATCTGGGCGTTGATATCACACTGAACCTGTCCCCAGAGGCCCACATCAAAAGGATATCATCAGCGGCATATGCTAGACTGGCCAACATAAGAACTGCCTTTAGAAACTTGTGTAAGGAATTGTTCAGGACGTTATATACCACTTATGTAAGACCAATCGTGGAGTATGCAGCTCTAGCCTGGAGTCTATACCTAGTTAAACACAAGACAAAGTTAGAGAAGATTCAGAAATATGCCACCAGACACACTCCCGGAACTGAGAGGCATGAGCTACGAGAAAAGGCTAAGGGAGCTGAACCCTGGAAAACAGAAGAGTAAGGGGAGACATGATAACCACCTACAAAATTCTGAGAGGAATTGACAGGGTGGACAAAGACAAACTCTTTAGCACAGGTGGAACACGAACAAGGGGATACAGGTGGAAACTTAGTACCCAGATAAGCCATAGAGACATTAGAAAGAATTTTTTCAGTGTCAGTGTAGTTAACAAATGGAATGCATTAAGTAGTGATGTGGTGGAGGCAAACTTTATAGTTTCAAATGTAGATTTGATAGAGCGCAATATGCTCAGGAATCTGTACACCAGTTGATTGACAGTTGAGAGGTGGGACCAAAGAACTGGAGCTCAACCCCTGCAAGCACCAATATGTTATCTTGAGATGATTTCGGGGCTTTAGTGTCCCCGCGGCCCGGTCCTCGACCAGGCCTCCACCCCCAGGAAGCAGCCCGTGACAGCTGACTAACTCCCAGGTACCTATTTACTGCTAGGTAACAGGGGCATTCAGGGTGAAAGAAACTTTGCCCATTTGTTTCTGCCTCGTGTGGGAAGCGAACCCGCGCCACAGAATTACGAGTCCTGCGTGCTATCCACCAGGCTACGAGGCCCCCTCGTAGTCCACGAGGCTACTAGGTGGGTACAGATAAAAAATTAACCCAACAGTTAACCCACATAACCCCCGCTTCCCCACCAATCACTTGCAAGCTTTCCTCACACGGGCTACAAATAACCTCATTATAGACCTCACTCTACTCCAAAACTCTGAAACCCAACTTACTGTCCCCCTATTCTACCTTGGCTTTATACAACTCCTAATACATCAATACAACTCGAAGACAACATTCCAAAGTCTGCACCAAATTCAGCCATAGCCTCAGTCTTTGTCTCAACAATGAAAAATTGCTACCCAAATACCACAGCAATTTATACAGATCGATCTCGCATCATCACGAACGACGTACCCTCGATCACTAGCACTGCCTGGCAAACCAACTATCTATTTTCACAGCTAAATTATATGCCTTATATCAAGCTCTTCAAATAATCACAACATTACCAGTTGGGATATATACAATCTGTAGTGACTCCAAGAGTGCAATTCAAGCAATTACATACTCTTCAACAAAGTGCAAAAAGAGTCTGTTTACCTATGCCTTCAACTTCTTCATTAACATCGATTGAAAGGTTATGACACCTCTATCCAATGGGTCCCAGTGCATTGTGGTATACTCCATAATGAACTTGTAGATCAACTAGCCAAAGCAATGCACAACACGCCTCACATTACCCATCATCCAATTCCTCATGTTGCACGTAAAGGAGCCTTCAAAAATACCATCATCTAAGATTTTGCAACGAAATGGAAAACTTGGAAACATGTCAGATATAAAAGCAGAGAAACTGATGTAACAATGACCAGATTAAGGCTGGGACACACTAAACTGGCAGCACACAGCTCTTAGTACAGAACAGACATTAACGAACTCTGCATCCACTGTCAGATGCCTGAAACAATCGAACACTCTCCTTCACTGTTTCCAACATCATAGTGCCAGAGTAAATTTTAAACAAGTATTTATCGCACTTAAAATACCCTTTACCATCTAGCATATATTAGGAGGAGGTGACCTCTCATTACAGGAAAATTATCAAATAGTCAAAGCACTAGCTAAATATCTCCAGTCAACCAACAAATTGGGCCACATCTGACCCATACCACATTTATACCTGGTGCCACCTACAGCTTAACACAAAACAAATGCCTCGTCACAGCACCACGGATCAGCTGACGCCATAAATACAACATACCGTCCAACAGTGCGGCAAGTCTCCCTCTAACATCCACCTCAGTTTTAGTTGCCGCTCCTCTATCTACAGCACAACGCAACAAACACTTTTGAAACTCTTTATCAACCTCAACATAAACGTGTCTCCCAACATCTGTACTGATGCAGTCATCGGGAGAAAAATCCTCCATCCCTTCATGCAAGCTGCACCTACTATCAAGAAGAAGTTGTCTGGATCAGCTTCCTGCAAACTGTTCAGCATTTTAAAAATTTAGATGAGATCCACCCTGTCATGGCTGGTTTTTGGTGTTGTTAGCCCTGTGGCCCTCAACCATTCCTGATATAGAAGTTGACATAGTTCTAGGATGATTTTTGTTGCCAAGTATTAAACTGTCTCCAAAGCCACTATGCCTTTCTCAAGTCTCTGTGCTTGGATACAATAATCCAAGTGGGTTTGCACCAGAGTTATACAGTTGAATAACTACCTTCTTTTCTTTAAAGTCAAAGGAATGTTTGATTAACTTTTTTACTGCTACTCACACAAGTGTGAAAGTAGCTGGTATCATTTTACAGCTTGAAAACAAATACAAAATATTCCCCTCTAAATTAGATGATAAATAATTATTTTTGTAAACGTGTACTGAATTATGGAGCCATTAACATTATAATATTTATTAAAATAAGTTTCTAATAAATATCCTTCATATTTTAATGTGCTTTTGGCTTATATTAAACATAAATTTTTGGAATTTTGGCAGTTTTGGTCTATGCAGTGGTGAAGGCATAATAAGTTATTTTGGGTATCAATATCTGGAGATTGGTGATCATCAGGAGAAAGGTAACTTTACTCCTAATGGCTAATTACAATATTTTATCGACTGATTGTTTAGGCCTACTGCAAATATTAGGAAATTATTTGTTTACATGCTGCTGATAAAATAAAACTGGGTTGAGAGTTCTTTTTTTTTTTTTTTTTTTGAGATATATACAAGAGTTGTTACATTCTTGTACAGCCACTAGTACGCGTAGCGTTTCGGGCAAGTCCCTGGAATACGATCCCCTGCCGCGAAGAATCGTTTTTTCATCCAAGTACACATTTTACTGTTGCGTTAAACAGAGGCTACAGTTAAGGAATTGCGCCCAGTAAATCCTCCCCGGCCAGGATACGAACCCATGACATAGCGCTCGCGGAACGCCAGGCGAGTGTCTTACCACTACACCACGGAGACTGTATAAAGACTGTATTCTTATAATTGTATAAGAGAATTGTAGAGACTGTATTCTTATAATCTGAATAATTATCACGGGACAAGAAAAGTTAAAAAAACCTTTACCGATTACTGTATTACAACCAGCATTTTAAGCCAATGTATTCAAAATGTGCAAAAGACATTTGATACAATTTACCGCACTAAACACACAAGAACTGCACTGAATCGTGTGAACGCCCATAACCAAACAACAGTCACGTTGTCAGTCAGTGAAGCTGAAACCGCCTTTGTTGTCGGCAGTAAACACTACAGTAAAAGCCCTCGAGGAGCAGCGCCAGCAACGTCTGCAGGCCCTTGAGCACCACCGCGGCACATCCAACCAACAGTTCAACCTGCCAACTCACAGGAAACGGAAATAGAGCTTAGTAAACAAGTTGGGTAAGGGCTGCTGGCTGGCTGGATGGATGGATCCCGTGACGTTGTTTACCTGACGGGATCGCAGGCGGTTACTACACCAACACTAGCCAACTGCCCCTGTACCCCCACCCCCAACAACCCCCTACTTCCCCACTCACTACCCATTCCCTCTCATTCTGCCAAGATTTTGCCTTATATGATGACACTTAATGATATTTTAACTTGTTATAAGATGTGTTTCATGTAATACAGGATAATAGAAGGAAAGTGTGTATCAATAAATGGAGTGAATCATTTCTTTAGCTAATATTTTTGTCCGATTCTTTGCTTTACTTTTTCACATGCTCAATGCGGATAACTGTTTAATTGCATTAATACATGTTGCTTGTCTTTATTACAATTAAAACAAAACAATAATGATGTCTGTTACTAAATCAACTCGGGATCAGGTTATATTCACATCTGAATCCCATTTTTCTTTACGCTCATCCGCATTCGAACAACAGACTGCTATGCCTTCCATGATTATTATTGAATAATTAATAAAATTTTACCTGTACATTTAATGTCCAAAATCAAGTGTAAATTACGATCATTAATATGGCCTACGTTGTCCTTCCTGACAGCACCAGAAAACAATAACAATATTGAAGTTGGAGGTTAGTCGATCTGTGGGAGTCGCGGCGAGAGGAGGTGGAGTGTCTGCTCTGGGGAATGTTTTAGCTCGGGTGCCCTGTAAATATGCAGCTGGAGAGCCCCAGCTTGGCTAGACTAGCAGCTGTCGTCGTCATCATTGTGTACGCGGTGCAGTGCGCGCGCGGCCTCCATATCAAAGGCGTCTGGCGAACTGATGAGTTTTTTCGCTTCCTTACTAAATTCGGCTTCCAAAAGACGACCCCGCACGAGAGGGAGCTGACGGAGGGCTTCATCTTGGGCAATGTGACGAGCAGTGTGGGGGGCGGGGCAGGGGCCGCGGGGGGCACCCTCGCCCTCTTGCCCCGGCAGTACTTCGTCGACTTCTACAGGAACAGGACCAAGGCGGCCGACGACCCTGACCTGGCCTGCCGCCTTATGTTCAAGGTCAGTGATCCTTGGGGCTAGCAGTTGTTACAGGTCAGCATTCCTAAACTAGCAGGTGTTACAGGTCAGCATTCCTAAACTAGCAGGTGTTACAGGTCAGCATTCCTAAACTAGCAGGTGTTACAGGTCAGCATTCCTAAACTAGCAGATGTTACAGGTCAGCATTCCCTAACTAGCAGTTGTTACAGGTCAGCATTTCCAAACTAGCAGTTGTTACAGGTCAGCATTCCTAAACTAGCAGTTACAGGTCAGCATTCCTAAACTAGCAGTTGTTACAGGTCAGCATTCTTAAACTAACAGTTGTTACAGGTCAGCATTCTTAAACTAACAGTTGTTACAGGTCAGCATTCCTAAACTAGCAGTTGTTACAGGTCAGCATTCCCAAACTAACAGTTGTTACAGGTCAGCATTCTTAAACTAGCAGTTGTTACAGGTCAGCATTCTTAAACTAGCAGTTGTTACAGGTCAGCATTCCCAAACTAACAGTTGTTACAGGTCAGCATTCTTAAACTAGCAGTTGTTACAGGTCAGCATTCTTAAACTAGCAGTTGTTACAGGTCAGCAATCTTAAACTAGCAGTTGTTACAGGTCAGCATTCTTAAACTAACAGTTGTTACAGGTCAGCATTCTTAAACTAACAGTTGTTACAGGTCAGCATTCTTAAACTAACAGTTGTTACAGGTCAGCATTCTTAAACTAACAGTTGTTACAGGTCAGCATTCCTAAACTAGCAGTTGTTACAGGTCAGCATTCTTAAACTAACAGTTGTTACAGGTCAGCATTCTTAAACTAACAGTTGTTACAGGTCAGCATTCCTAAACTAGCAGTTGTTACAGGTCAGCATTCCCAAACTAACAGTTGTTACAGGTCAGCATTCTTAAACTAGCAGTTGTTACAGGTCAGCATTCCTAAACTAGCAGTTGTTACAGGTCAGCATTCCCAAACTAACAGTTGTTACAGGTCAGCATTCTTAAACTAGCAGTTGTTACAGGTCAGCATTCCCAAACTAACAGTTGTTACAGGTCAGCATTCTTAAACTAACAGTTGTTACAGGTCAGCATTCCTAAACTAGCAGTTGTTACAGGTCAGCATTCCTAAACTAGCAGTTGTTACAGGTCAGCATTCCCAAACTAACAGTTGTTACAGGTCAGCATTCCCAAACTAGCAGTTGTTACAGGTCAGCATTCTTAAACTAGCAGTTGTTACAGGTCAGCATTCTTAAACTAGCAGTTGTTACAGGTCAGCATTCTTAAACTAGCAGTTCTTACAGGTCAGCATTCTTAAACTAGCAGTTGTTACAGGTCAACATTTTTAAACTAGCAGTTGTTACAGGTCAGCATTCTTAAACTAGCAGTTGTTACAGGTCAGCATTCCCAAACTAACAGTTGTTACAGGTCAGCATTTCCAAACTAACAGTTGTTACAACAGTTGTTACAGGTCAGCATTCCTAAACTAACAGTTGTTACAGGTCAGCATTCATAAAAAAGTTGTTTAGGCTCTCGTTTACAAAGCAACTGAATTATTTTGGCTGTTTAAAATTCCTCAGATTGGACTCCCTGGAGTGCAGATGAGACTAATTCATCTTCACTTGGAGAATATTCGATGGACTGGTTCTAAATCTGCATAATGGTTGGGGTCTGAGGTGGATGTATAAAGGATGGAGATATGTACTGGGAGGGATGGAGGTATGTACTGGGAGGAATGGAGGTATGTACTGGGAGGGATGGAGGTTTGTACTGGGAGGGATAGAGGTATGTGGATGTTAATTAAAGAGTATTCAATCTGATGCTACCCTATTTTCTATTTTAGTTGTTATCTTTTAGCCTCGCACTTGCCTGATCATTACTTTATGAGAAGTAATCAAAGTTATCTCTGGTAACTGTTGTCAGAGATAGTTACACAAGAATGGGAGTGCAATACTGTTGATAACTAGGGGAAAGAATGGGAAGAGGTTGACCACACTCAATCTAAGAGGACGATAAAGGATAGATCCTTTATCCATTCAAAGGGGGAGAAAAAGTGGATGGAACAAGGGGATTAAGGGGGCGTTATTCGGGTATATTAAAGTTGTTGTTTAGCGTCAACCATTATTTTTGACTAGTTGTATATGAAAAGGGCTACAATTGTTCGAAGTTTCAGTACTGTAGCTTAAATAGTAAGGGAGATTTTTAATTTTTTAATTGTTTTCAACGAATTTTACACATTTTCAAGTGTAAATTTACAACCACACCTTTCAGATATAATCATTCTATGACACTTTTCTGACACATTAACATATAATAAAGGATCCCTTGCAAAAGATTTTCCAAAACGTCTTTAGTTTTCCTAATACAAATAGTCTAAGTTCCCCCCCAAAATTATGCAAATATATCATGTTTATTGCTATTATAAAGTCAATAAAGAATTCAAGATAAAAACGCTTGCTAACGATTTTAGAGACATAAAATTTATATATAATGTGTAAGTTTCATGTAAATTGCATAAAAAATTAAAGAGATATTCATTTTCAAGTAACATAAACTTTCAAGTAAGTAAAAAATAAAGTCTAAGGTGTTGCCCTCAGTGGCTGAAGTTGACATCAACCAATTTCCTCCAAAATTGGCACCCTTACAGATAGGCATACGTGCAGGCATACGTGCAGTCAGGTGTACAAGTTTCATGCAAATCACCCTATAAACAAAAGAGAGAGATAAAATTTAAAAAAAAAGAGTAAAATTTGACTTTTTTTTTTTTTAACTAAATATTTTGTTAATAAAACTAATTATAATTTGTTTTTAATATATGCTATAGTGATACCTGAGAGTCATAGACATGATTTCAGTTGACATTTTTGTTTGATAATCTTTTTTGACCATTTTTGACAATTTTTGACACATAATTCAATATTTGTTTTCACCCTTCCTATTTATGCTACGATGCTGAGACTTGGACCAAATGAAACCCTTTTTATATACAACTTATCAAAAAAAGTTTGATTGAAATTGAACGAGTTTTCATTTTTTGCATATTTTGTGAATAACGCCCCCTTAATGGAGTAATGCTGTCGCCTCCTTTGGGATTATAGACGGCAAAGGACACGAGTCAATTTTGTTTAACTTCTCTCCACTATGATAATATTTACTTAGTGAATGCCTTGTATTAAATATCAAAAGACTTTATAATAAAAAAGGCAAGGAGTATAACATAAATTTTACATATGTATTTCCCCATGATCAATCTACAAGTTAATCTGATTGAATTTCAAGTAATTACTGACTTAGTTCTCATTACTACCTACCAGGATGTACAACTTGACCATTACCATTTGACTTTCCAAAAATACCCAATCCAAACTGAGTCACTAATTGAAATCTGGATTACCTTACCCTCTCCTAAGCTCTTCTACCAGTGATGTTTGATGAGTCCAGCTTTCCCAACAAAGTCAGAGACCACTGTGGGTAGCTATCTTGCAGCACTGCTGAGTGAGGCTCCTTGGCTGTGTTCTGGATCCAAGTCTGTTCTTTCTCAATGCCCCAGTATTTATCTGAAATCAGAGGGCTAGGCTCCACCCATTTTTAAAGCACCCCTCCCCTCAATGTAACAATACCCCAGCCCACTGCAGCTATTAGTAACTGCAAAGTAGATACCAAGCTGCATCTATTTCTTGTGACCCTGCCACAATTATTGACATAACAGGATTGATAAAATCAGTAGGAGATTTTCTCCTACTGATTTTCTCATTGATACATCACGTTAATGTGATTTCTTTATGCATAACAGTATTAGCAGGTCAATGATCTGATCCCGAGTCATTAAGTACTGACCCCTAGACTTGATACACTTGTGTAAGTGTGAATCTAACACTATCAGACTGACTCACTAGACTTGGTAAGCATAATAATATGTGTGTGTATACATTTTTGAGACATCTATGGTATTACAGGACTAGGAGCCATAACTGAATGTGTAAAATAGCCTCAATAAAAATTAGAGGTCCAATATGTTCTCTTAAGAAACAATTCATTAAGGGACATAGAGGGCCGAACACTTTTCAACATCCTTGCTATAAATATAAGGGACATAACCTAGCTGACCTCTATTGGCATTAAAGAAGAAAAGTGTTAACCTCCAAGGGGTATCTGGTTAACCAGGCTATGATTCCTACGTCAACTGTAAGCAGCAGCATCTGTTAGCCTGGTTGATCAGACTGACAACCTGTGGCAGAGTTAGAGACTAGGTCACAGAAACATTGATTCTCAAAATTATACCTGTACTCCTTAAACTTAAATTATACTCCTGTACTCTTACATTATACTCCCTGTATTAATATGCTTTATTCTCTGTATTCATTATTCTCCCCGTACTCATGCACTACATTCTCTGTACTTATGCAGTATTCTGTACTAGCCTGCTTATACACTACTAGTACTACCTTTACTCATTAGCCTACACCCTCTTCTAATCATTGCATCACACATGTTCATTACATCAAAGTTTGCATACTGAGAAATGTCAGCCTGGGAATACCTTTAACTGCCCACATTTTGTATGTGTATAGTGTATTGCCGATTTTTGTATCATCGGCAAATTTGCAAATGTTGCTACTCAAACCTAAATCTAAATCATTTATATAATATTATAAACAACAGAGGTCAGAGGCACTCCACTTGCAACATTTTCCCACTCTGACTTAACCCCATTTATACTAACTCTGTTTCCTTTGGTATAGCCATGCCCTAATCCAACTTAATATAGCATCCCCAATACCATGAGCCTCTTATCTTTTTAATCAGTCTTTCATTTGGTACTGTATCAAAAAAGTTACCAGGGATGATATTATTAAACAAATAGTAAAACTCAAACCAAACAAATACCCAGTGCCGGATGAAGTGTTTGCCAGGGTGCTTAAAGAAAGCAAAGACGAGCTTTGCGATCCATTGTCTACCATATTTAATAAATCATTAATGTCAGGCAGAGTGCCAGAGTCGTGGAAGGTTGCTAATATGGTACCAATTTACTAG